CCCCTGTCTCCGGCCCTGGCGAGGAGCAAGCAAACGAGGGGGTGGCTTGAACGCGCCGGAGGAGATGAGCTGCGGGCGGCCCTGCCCGCACCGGGGAGCGATCCGCGCAGCCCGGGGCTCCCTTCCCTGCCAGCGACCCGGAGCGGCGCCCCCGGGCTCAGGCCTGTGCTCGGCCCGGGGCCGAGCGGTCAAGCCGGCTGGAGCGCCAGGATCTCCGGGAGCGGCTCCTAATTCAATAACGCCCGGCTAACAGTTCAAATAGAGAAATTATTAGTTTTCTCTCAACGAGGCGGGTTTGAGTTAGAGTCTATTATAATTGTACATTTGAAAATGTTAATCTCAATACAGGCCTAATTAATTCTGCCTTGTTGCTGACAAGTAGTTCATCAAATATCTGATTCGGGGATTTTCATAATGAGGATATTAATTAAACTATGAATAATCCAAAGGTGCTTATATTGAAACAATACCTCATTACAATGATTAAATCCTGATTCCGAATATTATGCCTTTAACAATTGTCATCCCGCAAACACAACCTGATGGATGAGCCAGTGAATGGCAAAATGTAATTTTAAGAGAGATCTATCTATCTATCTATCTATCTATCTTATTTCCGGGGGGGGGGGGAATGTGCCCCTCATTTTCAAACACTTCTGAAATAGGTTACACACAGCTTAATGATGATCAAAATGACTCTTTTCTGCAAAAAAAGACCCCAAAGTGCGCGTACAGCTGCAAACCCAAGAGGGTCAGCATCATTTCACTGTATTCTCTTCTTGATTACAAGCCGAGCCCATCAAACACAACATAATTACAGTAATTTCAGGTTTATTTATTCTAATGCAGTTTCCCCATCTCTCTGGTAATTATGAGCAATTTTTTCGCCCAGGGAATCTTTTTGCATTAACAAAAGAGATAACGCACTGAAAGCCAAATTTGCTGTGCATTGAGAAAAGGGAAGAAAAAAAATAAAATAAAATAGGTGCGAGTTGCCATCTCTGCAATTCTCCTATATTGGAGCTCTGCAAATTGCTTGCAGGTGTATGGAGCAGGACTGTCAATAGGAAGGGGCTTCCAAATTAGCAAATGCACAATGTTGAAGTAATGAAGACAGACTTAGCAAAATTGCCAAACAACAGATACCTCTTTAATATCTTCCACACACAAAAAAACCAACAACAACAAAAAAACCAACAACCCCTTCTGGCGTGTCTTTCAGCACCCCGTGAATGGCTGGGCATGTTGTACATGTGTCAATCTAATTGCAGAGCACAGCACAGGCTCTGAATCTAGAAATATTTTCCGATCGCAGAGCCCGAAGCAGTTGCCATTCTGCACCCCCCTCCTCTCTGCCAGGGTAAAAATAAATGCCCATTGTGTCCAGACCAGACCTCTGCCTCGTGTCCTCTGTCTCCCTCGCAAGTTTCACGCGCGAGAAAAAGTTTGCCTCTGCCCCGTGCTCCCCGCGCCCCGGCCGGGTGCTGAGCAGTCACCGCGGCTCGCAAAACGAGCCGAAAAATCACCCGAGTCCGTCCGGGGAACGCACTCCAGTCAGGGAGCCCGGGCGAGAGACCCCGCAAAGCAGCGCCGCACACCCCGCGACCGACACAGCCCGGTTAGCCCGTCCCAGCCACCCCCCTGCCCTCCCGAGTCAAACAGGTGGGAGCAAAACCGGCACGCCGCAGACCCCAGCCTCGGAGCCCACGAGGGGCGAGCACAGCGCAGCATCCCGAGCCCCCTCCCCGCGGCACACGCGCAGCCTTCGGGGAAAGCATCCCGCGTTTCCTAACCCTGACACAAGTGACAAGAAGTTTTGATGGAAGAATTAGTTGGTGCATATATAATCACTCCCCCACCCTACCGCTCCCCGAGCGGGGAAACTTATCGACACGGCGCAGTCATCCGCCCCTGAGAAAAACGACCCGGGGTTGCCATCCTTACCTGCAATCTCAGTGGCCGTTAATCTGGACACAAGTCTTTGCTTTAACAACAAATCAAAGGGTCGAAGGCGGCTTTTGGCCGGGAAAGTTACAGGCGGGAGAGACTGAGGGAGAAAGAGGATGGTGGGGTGGGGAAAAAAAAAAAGCCGAGCACAAGAGTAATATCCCGAGAGTGCAAATGTGGATTGAGATCCACCAGAGATGAACATGCCTCTGAGCTCGGGAGCCTTTTTTGCAGCTCCGCTCTTGCAGAATATGACTGAAATTTTCTGCTATATAGCCTCTGTCTTTATAGCTGATGAAAAAAATTGCAGATTATTAGCATAAATGTTTACTCTTCATTACGCTGATGACATTGTGCACTCGAGATCTTGGTAATCTTTGGGAAAATTATGAGTAATTTTTAAAAATTTTAAAGCAGCAGCAGTTACCATGCAATTCAGGCTAATTCTGCGTAGGCTCCGAACGGATATAATTATCGAGGAGTCAAGATGTTATGCTAAAAACTATGCATTGATATTCCCATTTATTATGTACATACAACTTTGACAATGTTGATGCTTGAAATAGCAGGAAATTGTCTTGCGCAAAAATTACAGTCCATATTAGGACATGTGAAATTGCGAAGAATTATATAGTAATTGCAGGCTTTCAGATGGGAGAGCCAGAATGCTCAAACTAGTGCAAATGTGGATAAAATTACAGATCAGAGCAAAAATTAGGGAAAAAGGGGGTCTGGGATTTTTCAAGTTGGCTATAGGATTCCGGAAGTGTCTAATG